TCCCCAAACTCCCGGAGCCGCAGGAGTTGAGGAGGGAAGGCTGGGTGGGAGACTTGCTTTAGCCGCCTGGCTGGCGCGTGGCCACGGGCAAGTCTGCCCCAGCTCTGAGACCCGATCCCCCTGGGCAGTGATGTTGGTTTGCTCCTGCTCCAGGCTGGCGGCTCTGGAGGCCCGCGTGACACAGCTGCAGGAGGCGCGGGTGCAGCACGCTCAGCAGGTGGACGCTCTGCAGGCGCGGAACGCGGCTCAGCGGGCGGCCTATGAGGCGCTGCGCGCGCACGCTGGACTCCAGGAGGCGGCATTGCGCAGGCTCGAGGAAGAGGCGCAAGACCTGCTGGAGAGGCTGGTGCAGCGCAAGGCGCGCGCCGCTGCGGAGCGCAACTTGCGCAACGAGCGCCGGGAGAAGTGAGAGCGCTAGGCCCCACCCCTCGGGGAAGCGAGCGGTCACGCCCCTTGTCTTGGAGGTGAACGGGACTCCCACGCACCTTCCCCAGGACAAGGACCCACCCGGCCTTGCCCTCGCAGGAAGGCGGCAGAGTCCCGCTCCCGGCTCCTAGGAATATTTTCTCCCCCAGGGCCAAGCAGGCGCGGGTATCCCAGGAGCTGAAGAAAGCCGCCAAGCGGACAGTGAGCATCAGCGAGTAAGAGTGGGGATGCGCCGGGAGCCTCAGCCACTGGCTCTGCCCCTCGTGTTCTGGAGCTCTCTCCCTGCTTTCGGGCCGTTGCCTCCAGTTCTACCCTGCCCCACACCTGCCTGCGGTCACTCATGTACCTGACCCCACGTGTGCACAGCCACGGTCCCCCGGTCCCCGGGTCCCCATGTAGACCGAGCTCACAGGACACGTAGACACGTGAGGTCATAGGAGCCAACACGTTGGGCCCTTCACATGTGCACTTACCGGGTCGGCACTTCTTCACCATATCAGGCACTGGGGCAGGGAGGAATTCGCTTGGTCCGTTCACCTTCCTGAGTTCCATTCCCTTTCCCAGGAACCCAGACACCCTAGGAGATGGAATCAGGGAGGGGGCCGAGATGACTCCAGCCCTGCCTGCTGAGCCAGAGTTTCTGGATAGTGAGGCTGGTGAGAAGTGGAAGAAGAGGGCCTTCAGGTGAGGACTGTCCCAGCGCTTTAAGCTGGGCCCACCCCAGAGTCTTCCTCTAGGACCTTAAGCCACCTCTTGGGTTGGGAGGGGCCTTGGGAAGATTCTGGAATACAGCTCATGCTTCCCAGGAGGCTTGATCTCCACTGGGGTTGGGTGTCAGGTTAGTGAAAGGGAGAGAAACTGTGGTGAAGGCCCTGGGCTCAGCTGTCACAGGCATGTGTTCGCATACATAGGGACATGAGAGCACATGAGTGTGCAAGCCTGGATGAGCATACTTGAGTATGTATGAACATCTGAGCATGTGGAGATATGTGAGTTCACATGGTTGGACCTGATTGGGGATTCAGTCCTTGGGCTCCTCCCCTCATCCCCCCCCCCACCCCCGCATCTGTCTTCATTTGCCTGGCATTGAGGCTGCAGCTCCTTCCCCACGTTCTCCAACCTGAAAGTTCTCCTCAAGCCCTTCCTTACAGGTTACTGTATCCAGGCCTGAAGGAACTTGGGGAGGGGCATGAGACACTGGTCCCCAAAGCCCTTGGCAGCCCTGTGGGCCAAGTCATCCCAGGACACAGCTCCTGGGCATTTTTGAGGACTCAGCAGGCCTAAGTTGCTCCATGCACCTGCCCCCAACCTTATGCTATCCCAGCCTGGGGGCACCTTCACCACCACCTCCTCCACAGGCCTCAGCTAAGCGTCTCAGGAACTTTTGTTGGAGGTACTTTGGCAGTGAGGCGATTCTTACTATCATGAAGGAAACTTTGGGACACTTCATTGCCAACTTCCTCCCTGCCTCCACTTTCTTGGGACTGCTCTGGGTCATCCTGCTCCTCTGGTCTTGGAGGAGTCAAGTTCTCATCCTGAGCTCAAGAAGTTAAGAGCCCTCAAGTCCTTGGCAGAGTGTAGAAATGAATGACTGCTCTCTGCACACCTGCCAGCTAGTTCCTTAGCCTCTCGATTTTGCCCCAGGTCTGCCTCTGCCACCTCTCTGACGCTGTCCCGCTGTGTTGATGTGGTGAAGGGGCTTCTGGAGTAAGTATGTGTGTGCACTGACATGTATATGAAAGGGTGGGGCCCCTTGGAGCCCTATGTGGCTCCTGGAGTCCAGACTTGGTCTGTGTATGCGCCTTGGTCTATCCATTCGTGTTTTGCCCAGCAGTCTGCATGAGTCTCTCTGCTGAGCCTCAGAGGCAGGAGCTGGGTGCATGGCCTCATTTTGAGCCCCTGCTTGGCTATCCTCCAGGTTCTGTCCCTCATCCAGTTTCCTCACAGAGGACCAAGAGTGCTAGCCTGAGGGCAGACAGGAACTCCCACTCAGTTGGGAAACTGAGGCTCAGAAATGTCAGGGGATCTTTCAGGGTCACAGAGCCAGCAGTGTCAAGGCCAGGGCTGGAACCCCAGCCCCAAGATTTCTCTGCATCCACTTACCTTGCCCTGTTTCTGTGCTTTTCTTTGTGCTCCTTTCATCTCCACACTGACAGGGGTTAGAGGCTGGGTTGGGGACCTTGCTTGCTGTACCTCCTGGCCATGTTCTGCCGTCTTTCATGTCTGCTTTCTGTTGTTGCTGTCTCCTCAGGAGAGCTTGAGGCTCTCCTGTCAGAAGGGCTTGCTGAACTCCCTCCTGATCCCCACCCCCAGTTTCAAGAAGAGGAGAGGCCACTCAATTGGGGGAGCCCCTGAGCAGCGATACCAGAGCATCCCTGTGTGTGTGGCCGCCCGACTTCCAACCTGGGCTCAGGATGTGCTGGTAAGGAAGAGCTGGGCCACATGCCTGCGGTGCTCATACGGGGAGTTTGGGTCCCAGGGCTGGTCTGAAGAGGCCAGGAAAACAGGGCTAGGCTCCTGGGCAGGATCGGGAGTTTTTCTGCCACAGCTTGTGGTGGGATCCCCTCAGTCTTTTATAATGAGGGTGTGGACTGGAGAAGGAGAGACAGGAGGCTGAGAGACCAGAAGGCCAGTTTGTGGAGTAGAGGGTAGCGTGGTGGTTGGCTGCTGCAGGGGTCTCCGTAGAGGTTACAAGACCCTCTGGTGTGTATAGGCACGCATTAGAGAGAGCCTGTGAGCATGTACAAAGAGGCCTGCATGGCAAGTACCAGGGGCACCAACCTCCTCTTTTCTCCACAGGATGCCCACCTCTCTGAGGTCAATGCTGTTCTTTTTGGACCCAACAGCAGCCTCCTGGCCACTGGAGGGGCTGACCGTCTCATCCACCTCTGGAATGTTGTGGGAGGTGAGGGTCCCTGTCCTGTGGGCCAACCCAGTGCTTTCTCTCCAACCCCCAGCCCCACAGCTTGCTCCTTTGCGGGCAGAGGTCTTGGATTTCTTTATTTTTCCTCACCTGGAACAGTCTTGTGGGCAGTAGCCAGATGACCCCTTGGCAAGAGTTCTGGGCTCACTGTTCTGAAGAAGGGTAGAGCCTCCCAGTTCCTGGGGTCTAGGCCTGTAGGATAGGGAGGGTTGAGCTCAGATGGTTGCTGTTAGGAGAGGTAGGGGTCTGCCCTTGAGGAGCAGGTCCTTGGTGTCTACCAGACCACTTCTGTTATCACTTGAGCTCTCAGAACTCAGGAGACCATTAGTTAGCTACCCTAGGCTCTGTAGAGGGGTGTGTACTGGGGAGTCAGAGCTGGCTCCTGGAGGCTTCTTAGAGGAGGCCTGGCCCTGGCTTGCTGCATGACCTAGGGACAGGCCTTTTTCTCTGGTCCTTTCCAGTCCTCTGAGAGGACAAGCTGCTCCCCTGGGGCTCCCTGCTGGCAATTTGGGAAGGTGCAGCCTTCAACCAGGCCCCTAGAACAGATCCAGCAATTCTGTCCTCTAATTTGGGAAAGATTGATTTTCCCACTCCTGGTTCCAGCTTCTCATTTTCATGAGGTTAGTGACCTCATTGTACCTGTCCCTTCCTCTGGTCCCCCCAGGTCGTCTGGAGGCCAACCACACCCTTGAAGGAGCTGGCGGCAGCATCACCAGTGTGGACTTTGACCCTTCGGTGAGTCCACTGAGTGGCATAGGATGTCCACCTCCCTCAGTCTCCATTGCCAGGAAGGTGGGGGCCCTAGGACCTGCGGGAACACATGGGCATCCTAGTACCCAGCCTTTAGGCTCGTACACAAATCCTCCTCCCTGGGCCCAGGGGCTCCTTGGTCTGCCTAGGGGACCTGGGCTATGGGAAGCTCAGAGGCAGTCCTGCCCTAGCTCTTTGGCCTGAGGGATGTTGCCTCTGGCCAGGCTCAGGTCTAGGACCTCTCCCACTCCCATCTCTCTAGGGCTCCCAAGTATTGGCAGCTACTTACAATCAGGCCGCTCAGCTCTGGAAGGTGGGAGAGGCACAGTCCAAGGTGAGGTCTGATTGGGGAGGCAGCCTGGAGGTCAGGGGTCATGCTTTGGCCTGGAAGGGGGTTGTTATGGAGTTTTGGCCATGCCCTTAATTTATATTTGTGATGAGGGGCAGGAGACACTGTCTGGACACACAGACAAGGTGACAGCTGCCAAATTCAAGCTAACACGGCATCAGGCGGTGACTGGGAGCCGAGACCGGACAGTGAAGGAGTGGGACCTTGGCCGTGCCTACTGTGAGGCCCAGCCCCACCCCACTCCCTACCCTTTAGGGACCCCCTCCCCACAAAGCTGAGCCATAAGAGACCTCAACCTGCTCTCTAGGAGCGATTCTGAGATTCATAGGCATTTGGGGTGAAACTTCTCAAAGTCCCTTCTTCTCTGGCTCCCATTGGTGCTTTCTGCCAGTTTCTTGGTGACAGGCTTTGGGCTGAGAAGCAGGGGATCCCAGGTTCTAGTTTTGGGAGGATACTGCCCATCTGGGGCTCCTGGGCTTCGGCTTCTCATATGTCTAGTGGGCTGGCTCTTGACAACCCTCCTCTGAGACTGGGGCTCTCCTTGTTCCTTAGGCTCCAGGACCATCAATGTTCTTTCCTACTGTAATGACGTGGTGTGTGGGGACCATGTCATCATTAGTGGCCACAATGACCAGAAGATCCGGTTCTGGGACAGCAGGTGACAGGAGTGGGCTATGGGTAGTAGAGGCATCGGGACAGAGGTCCTGCTTTCTCTTTCTTTTCTCTGGCCATGGAGTTGTGGAGGGTACCTCGGGGAAGTGAAGCTGTGATGGCCTCTCTGTGCTGGGCTTAGCCCCTTGAAGGCTCAGCTGGGGGACCTGTGCCACCTTAGTGGCTCTCAGTCCAACCACTGGACTCTGCTTGAGCCTTGACAACCAAGATGCAGAAGCTCCTTTTTTACATTTAGTTACCAATTTTTAATCAAAAGGAACACAAGTTTTAGTTTTTTTTTTTAATCTAACAGCTCAACATTAAGTTTGATTGGTTTATAAAAGCCAGGGCTGGATCCAGTGCCTGGCCTGTCTCAGGCTTCTCATTACTGGTGGGTACTGATTGCTGTTTGAAACCCTTCTCTCTCACGCACACACATGTAAAGACAGACTTCCATTACTTTCCCTCTGGCACTTAGTTTAGTGACCCAAGTGTTGCAGGGGCTTCAGCTTTGAGTCAGGGGCTGCCTAAGTTCCTGTTGGAGGGGGCTGGCTGCAGTGAGAGATTAGTCCCTGTCAGCCTTGCTCCTGTACTCTGAGACCAGCAGTGCCTCTGGACTTCATTAGCTTGTCATGAGTGGCCCTGTCAGGGTGGGCTGCTCCTTATCCCCATCTCTGCCTTGCTCCTCAGGGTGCCCCGCTGCATCCAGGTCATTCCTGTGCAAGGCCGGGTCACCTCCCTGAGCCTCAGCCATGATCAGCTGCATCTACTCAGCTGTTCTCGTGATGATACACTCAAGGTCATCGACCTGCGTGTCAGCAATATCCGCCAGGTGTTCAGGTACCTGCCTTGTGGCCACTCATCCTGTAGCTTCGGCTGGGGCAGCTAGGCCTCTCATCCCCTGTAAAAGGCCCTCCAGGGCCTGTCAACAGGGTTTTTGGTGGTGGTGGGGGGCCTCCCTAGAGGCCTTTCTGAACCAGGGCCTGCTGAGGTGCCCAAACCCTTGATGGAGAGAGGAAACTCTTGAAATTTCTGGCTGAGGCCAGGGACTGATGGCCACCTCCATTGTGATCTGACTCTCTGTCCTCAGTGCTGATGGCTTCAAGTGCGGTTCTGACTGGACCAAAGCCGTGTTCAGGTGTGTCTGTGAAAGCACATGCCTCTGCCCGAGTGTGCCCCAATTTGACTGTGTGTCAGTGTGTGTGTGTGTGTCCTCACCTCTGATCTTCTCCTCTCTTGCTCTGCTGTGAACACTATAGTCCGGACAGAAGCTATGCACTCGCAGGTTCCTGGGATGGAGCCCTTTTTATCTGGGATGTAGACACTGGAAAATTGAAGAAGAGCCTACGGGGACCCCACTGGTGAGCATGGCCACCACCCGTCCACCTGCCCACCCCAGCCTCAAGGCCATTGCTGCCCTAGCCCCAGTCCTGCTGAGCCAATTCTAGGTTCTGACACGCTTAGGCCCTGAAATCCCCAGCCCTCGTTCCCACACATTCCACTTCCCAGAGCCCTTCACAGTTCACAAGGTGCCTTTCCACATGGTCTTGGCTCCACCTCACCACAGCCCTGTGAGCCCATTCTACAGGTGAGGAAATGGGCTCAGAGAGGGTCTCAAACTGCCCAGGTCCAGTAATGAGGGGCAGCACCAGGCTGCGGGCCCAGCTCCTGGTGCACCCCTGAAACCTCGCCCTCCTTCTCCTCAGTGCTGCTGTCAACGCCGTGGCCTGGTGCTACTCCGGGAGCCATGTGGTGAGCGTAGACCAAGCCAGAAAGGTTGTGCTCTGGCACTAGTGTGCACAACCTCCTGCCTGGGCTGGAGCTCCGGTCCGAAGTCTGAAGCCAGAGAACAGCTTCCCACTACTCTATCTGGTTCCAGGGCCAGCGGGCAGGTGGGGTGGGGGTAGAGAGTTGGGGGATGGCCTCAGGATATTTAGTTGGGACGAAGGCCTGGCAGGACCTGGCCTGTTTGTTTAAAAAAAAAAAAACAGTGTGGTTTGGTGGAGATTACAGTATTTTTATGTTAATCTCTGTCTCCTCACTTTCTCTGCCAAAAGTGGCATCTAAACTGGTATCTGCTTTACTCTTTGCAGCATTTAGGGAACAGAGAGACGTTTGGGCTGGTGCCTTGAGAAGATCAGGGCTTGGCCCCCTTTCTTCCTTCTACAGAGCTGGACAGAGCTCGTCCTGCCTCTGTGCTGTTCAAGTCTAAGAGGACACAGCATGAAGAAAGCCCAGAGGCAGCAAAAGGCAGTGGCTCTTAGAGCCATGAGAATTTCACCTTTGGTCTGAGCTGGTCCTGAGGCCAAGTCAACACCTTGGACCCTCCTGCTTCAGGCATGCAGGGTAGACTGAGGCTGAAGAAGGACCATGGGAGTCCAAGGAGGGAGCAGGGGAAGTAGTCCAGAAGAGCCCTGGTAGAAAGTGTCCTAACAAACTGGAGAGTGATGTCAAGTACTTGGTATACCAGGTCTGCCTTTAGAATAGCCATGTTCTTGCTCCAGAGGCAGAACCTGGAGCGGCAGGGCACAGCCTGTGTGTGTCTGTCTGCGAGTCTGGGAGGGCAGCGGTGGGCTGGGCCTGGGTCTGGGCTTTCACTTACATTGGCATCACATATATTCTGCACAACAAGCCTCTGAAGTACAAGGCAGACCCAACAGGGTAGAGTCTGGGCACCCTACTTCCTTCACCAACCTGGGGTATGGTGGAGGAGTCAGCAGGACGGTCATTGCCAGTCATGAGGCAGCAGAGGGGATTTTCGTCCTTGAATGATGGGGGCTGCCTTCTGGGGGTCTACTCAGCTGCTAATCAAAGTATTTACTCTAGAACTCGCAGCCTCCTTCTTTATGATCTTGCAGTCTTCCTTGGGGGACTCTTTGCCAGTCCCAATTTTCAGAATGGGCGACAGAGAGCTAAAAGCCTGGACTCCTCAGCCAGATTGTCTGGGGATGAATCTCAGTTCCACTATTTAGTAGCTGAATGGTTTTGAGAAAGTTACTTAACATTTCTGTGCCTCAGTTTCCTCCTCAAAGGTCGTAAGGACTCCACGTGTTAGTATTTAATGTAAAGCTTCTGGCACATGTCAAAGGCTATGTAAGAGTTGGTTAAACACCCATATCTACACTGCTAACGCCCAGATCACTCACAGCTCTTGGCCACCCAGCTCTCCTCTAAGCTCTAGGTTACATATCCAGCTGCCTCCTGGGCCTCATCTCCTGCTGATATAAGCTCTTCTCCTCACACCCCACATCCTCTTGGCATCAAGGCCTGGGGCCGCTGTGTCTAACTCTCATTTCCATACCTGCTGCCACTACAGGCCAACTTCTAGACCTGCTGTCGTCCCACCCAGTCCTCTCTGCCATGGTGACCTTCTAAGGTGTCATGGTCACATGTGCAACCCCCTGGCATTCCCATGCTGCCTACAGAGAAACTTCTTGGCATGCATTTCAGAGCACCTGTAGCTACCCTGCTGATTTCAGCTGCATCTTTATTTTTTTGCTACTCTTGTGCCTTACATGTGTTTTTTTCTATGCTCAGTGCTCTTCCCTCCCAGGCCCTAATTCACCTTTATCCTTCAGGATCCTCTCACTGAAAGCCCTCTCTCACCTGCCAGGCTGGCCAGGGGCCTCCTGTGGCCCATGCTCCCATTTGTGTCTGCCTCCCTCCATTTTCAGCAGGGAGCTCTTGGAGGAGACCAGGATGGGAATCAAGTGTTTCCTGGGATCAGGCTGGCACAGAGAAAACCTCAGGAAATGTTTCAGTGGCTAAATTCTCTTACTCAAGGACTTGGCAAGTCGTGCAGTTGAAGACACTAGGTGTCCAGCATTCTTCAGATCTAAGATTCCCAAAGGCCCAGCCCTCATGCCCTGGCTCCCGGTGGCCACCAGGAGTCACCACTGCCTAATCTCTGCAGAGGCCACACTGCCGCCTTCTAGAATTCATGGCTGGAAAGACCATTGCTTCCAATAGCCACCATTACCCAGGGCTTGTGTCAGGCCTTGTGTTCTGTGATTTTCTTGCAGTATTTTATTGTTCCTCCCAACTACCTTATACTATAGATATCTCTTTCACAGAGACAAAATTGAGGCTCAGAGAGGCTAAGTGATATGAGATCACACAGCTGGCAAAGCTGGATTATGACTATTATACTTTTTAAAAACAAAATGTCAGAGAATCTGGGCTCCCAGTTAGGGCTTCAGGGTATACCTCTTGCCAGGGGGTGACTCTAGCTTTATGCCTAACCTAAATCCCTCCCTCCATCTTCTTTCCCATTGTGGGCCCTGGGCCTGAGCTTGGAGAGTTAGTGTTCCTTGAAGTGAGGGACATGCAGGGCCAAGGAGTGAGGTGAACAGGAGGCTGTTACCAGCTACACCCCATTTGGGGCAAGTACCTCACAGGACTGCAGTGAAGACTGCTTAAATAACCCAGAATAGGTCCTTGGGAAATGATCTGACTCAATTCCTAGGACAGTGGTCCCTCTGTTCCCCTTAAGCCTCCCCTTCTTCATGGGTAAATCTGACAGCACACCTTGGGGTACAGTTGCCTCACCTCAGGGAGCACACCTGAACTTCCTTGGAAGGAATGCTTCCTGGTAGAGCCAGAGACAGGCCAAGGTGTTCCAGGGAATGAGGTGGGCCTGGAGGGAGAGGGGCCAGCAAAGGCTAAGTGGGGCAGGTGCTGGGAAGTCTGCACCCCTAGTCCCTGCGGTCCCTGTTCAGTGGTGATAGAGCCCTGGTGCTGAACACCTCTCCAGGTTTTCAGTTTTCAGTATTCGGGTTTTCAGTACTGAGTTGTCTCCAGGTTTTCAGTACTTAGGTACTCAGGGTCTGCCTCCCAGAGCTGGGACAGGGCCTCGTGTA